GTAGTAGCAGGTTCATAAGCACGTAACAAACAACACCGAACACCGGAAGTACATGTCAGCTCCTGACCTCAAGGGACTCCAAACTTTCAGGCCGATGAGAGCGAAATATGGCCACGTTCGAACACGCGCTACGTCTCCAGCTGACACACGCAAATCATTATGCAGTGCATGAACACACAGCGGAGTGTAAAGACATGTTTACCAAATGAGTTCTTCACATTCAGATAACTTACTGACCTTGATTGACGGTCCTTCACGATACAAGATTTTCTCTTTGCAAAAATAACTTGGCTACTCATATAGGAGAATCCGAAGGGCGAGAGGTTATTATGCATTATACTAAATATTTGAAACACAAAAAAATATAAATACAATTTATGATTTTTTATTGATATTTTTTATAGTTGAACCTTTTCTAGAAAAAATATGTTTGCCCTTCTCCAAAAAACACGAATTACGATAAAGCCACACTGATTAAAAAAAATAATTTTAACCGAGAATCATTGTGGTGTGTTCCTTTAAAACGCCCCAAAAAAATCCACGGATAAGCTGCCGTGAACACCAACATGTAATTCAAAATCTTTTACAGAGATGGCAGTCATGCGTGAGGAACAACACATCATTTCCAGCATCTGCCGTAATGGTGGTACGTTTTAGTGTATTTTGGCAGTAGAATTGTTAGCAACGCTAGTAGTCCGAATCTCCGCGGGTCGTGTGACGGGAGGGGCTTTCCCGCTCTACGATTAACGGGACAATCAAAAAAATAATCTCACTGCATTAGCGTAACCACCACAACATAAAATCACATAGAAATTAAAACAGATCATCTAGAAGATAGAAGGCTTAGTATATAATTTGAATTGCCGTCCTCGAAGAAGTGTAAATATTGGTGGACATCGTCTGAACCAGGAAAGCTAGAAGTGAATGGCCGCGGGTTGGAGGACCGGAGCTCGATTCCCGTTGGGACAATTCTGTTTCCCTTCGTCACTTCATTCGGACTTGTTCTGGGGCCCAAGCCTTCTTTCCGAGGGCACTCTCCCCTGTGAAAAACTGCCGAAACATGAAGCTAAATGACTCATCTCCATCCAGCGGTGACGAATATGATTTCGCCCTCACCGAAAATCGCCTGACAACGAGGGTACATGTCGATAGACGAGTAGTCCCACCCACAATGCTGACAAAAACAACCACTATCAGATGTTCGGAAGAGTTAGTTAAGAAAGCGTAGGTGTTTGTAATTAGAGCTTGTATATTTGTTTAGGTTCCTTTGTATCGTCTTCAAGCCGACAGATTAACTGGGAGATAACATAAGATAAGCGAACAATTAACGCGTCTGGTCTTATCATTTTCCAAGCGACACAACTTTGTGCAGAGCCAAGTGACATTTTTGCCTGGCGGTTTCTCTGGAGAAATCCATTGGTCGAACGATCTGCTAATCAGTGCAAATGTCAGACTTCCAAGTACGACTATAACTCCGATCTTGTAGTCATGGTTCCCGTGTTCTACCCTGTTGACACCTCCTTCCAAATCCTTGTCAGTCATTACAATATTCACATCTCATTTGACATTCCACGTCCTCAAAGTCCTAAACTAACTTGAGTAACCAACCATCCATTTACTATTAAACCTTCAAAACATTACGAATTGTTTTTGAATTTCTACAAAGTGACGTCTCTTAGGAAATTACAAACAGATTCCATCGCAAAAACTAGAGAAACCCTGAAACCTTAAGCCTTTCGTAGAGACAGTCACTGGCCGCGCGGGTTAGCCAAGCGGATCCAACTCTGTAAGAAATGCAGGGAACAGAAGAACTGAAATAATTAACGTGTGACTGGTCGTAGTAATTACTGAATCGATTACATTTTAAAGGAATAGAGTCCAAATACATAAATTTTTGCATACTGTAAGCGAATCCAAAATGTGGAAAGTCTAACTCAAAAATCTCTGGCGTGATCATAAAATGACAGGTGTTAATCCGAAAAATACCCAATCCTCCTATTACAAACCTAAATGAGAATTGCTCTTAAATTTTAATAGGTTTCGCACTCCAAACTTTATCACCTAAAGTTTTTGTATTCATTATCTGGAGTGTCACAGATAAGGCAATGAGAGAGTCCGAAATCCGAAATGAACGTTGGCGTATACCTCGCGCGTTTTCAAAATGCGTTCTTTGTCCATTTACAAATCGCACTGACTTTCCACGTGCATTTATTTCAGATACAAATCTAGACACACAGAGTTAATCACACTGCAAATATAACGCTCACAGATATTTTTATTTAATCAAACACTAACTATACCTAAAAACGTTTTCAGAAAACGTTATAAATGCTTATGAGCTCCATTCTTCGTCACCTACAAATTTTCTAACTATCAGACGTTTTTGAGAAAACTGACTGCCCCTTCAAATCCCACTCGTAGATACATTCAGTAACTCTTTTTTTTTGCCCACAGAGTGTACTTATGGGCTACGTAACTTTATCAGAAGAAACAGCTATTATTTCCCTAAACAATACTAAACAACTGATCTTTGTAATGATAAAGTGTTTTCTCCGAGATATGACCTTGATTTTTTAAATATTATTTATATGATTTTCTGTCACAAACGGTTAAGTTCTATTTAACTTTAAACTTATGTAATCATAAGAGCATTTTATTTTCATCTAATGTACTGTCTTTCGATACCAAATTTCATCAAAATCTGGAGAGTAATTTCAGAGCTAATACATGGAGACGGACGCCACTCATCACAATGCGCCAATCACACACACGTCTTTCAATAAACGCATTCCTAGTACATGGTCGAGGGATAGCTGTCTGCGTGGTATGAGGATGAAAGTGTTAAAATTGGCAATACAACAAGAAAGCTGAGCGTCCCGTTCTGGTTGGCTGTGCACACAACATGGCGGCTTCCGTGGGAAACTCAACGTAACAATTTCATAGGCACCAAACACAAGGCGAACAAGATAAATACACGTAAGAACTGTCCTCTCCAGAATTTTCGCAGGAACCTTCAAATTTCCGGACCAATCCGGAAAACCGTACAGGTCTCAGGGCTGAGATGTGAAGGCGGGACCTCCCGAACACGCGGCAGGAGTGCCAACCACTCGGCCGCAATGCTTTATTGACGGGGGTTTTGATTTATATCTGACCGATAATAACCAAACAATTTCACAGTACAGAGTCGGTGTAGAAACCCCAATACCAAATGCAACCTAAATCAATTATTTCGGTAACGAAGCACGAAGTTAAACAATCACGATGTTCGTCTTCTGCGATTTATCACAGTGTGAACTGATAAGTGCTTAGCAATGTTTCGCCAGAATATAATGCCTCCATCTTCAGGGCTAAGGATGGATATAGTAAGTTCTACCGAAACGTTGGTATAAACCTACAACTCCACACTGTGTCTGAACCCAGGACAGGAACAAAATTCA